TGCCTCTGGAGTAAACCTATTAGTAAGGTCTTTAATGTCCAAATTGTTTTTCTTTTAACTACTGCAAGATCAATGCATGCAAAAAGTCAAAAGCTTGCTTTTCCAATTACACTTCATATATTATTTCCCTGAAACACACACACACACACACACGAGAGCACACAGAAACATGGACACATTCGCAAAGACACAGGCATGCACAGATTACACTCACAGATTTGTATTTTGAAAGCCTAGAAAAAAATCAAAGGTAACTTAATCGGGCTTTTAAACTTTCTGCCGGTTCTGGAATGGATTTAGGTCAATTTCACATTAACAAAATTGCAGCTGCTGGCCATGATGCTCAGAGCAGAGTTTGTGATGGTCTGTAAACAACAGCATTTGGCATCTGTGCAAAAGAAACTTAAGAACACTTGTATGTTTACATAACAAGCTTTGGTGCCATTGTACATTGTCCTATTGCTGCCAATTCTGCTATTCATTCTTGTCTATTGTGATGCAGATGCAGAGCACGTGGGTCTCCTTGATTGCTCAACACAGCTCAACTCATGTTCGACCATGGCAAGCCTTGACACAACTGCAACAGAAAAGTGTTACTTATTTCCTCGGTTAAATTCAATACTTCCACATACAGTGGGGAAAAAAAGTATTTAGTCAGCCACCAATTGTGCAAGTTCTCCCACTTAAAAAGATGAGGCCTGTAATTTTCATCATAGGTACACGTCAACTATGACAGACAAATTGAGAAAAGAAAATCCAGAAAATCACATTGTAGGATTTTTAATGAATTTATTTGCAAATTATGGTGGAAAATAAGTATTTGGTCACCTACAAACAAGCAAGATTTCTGGCTCTCACAGACCTGTAACTTCTTCTTTAAGAGGCTCCTCTGTCCTCCACTCGTTACCTGTATTAATGCACCTGTTTGAACTTGTTATCAGTATAAAAGACACCTGTCCACAACCTCAAACAGTCACACTCCAAACTCCACTATGGCCAAGACCAAAGAGCTGTCAAAGGACACCAGAAACAAAATTGTAGACCTGCACCAGGCTGGGAAGACTGAATCTGCAATAGGTAAGCAGCTTGGTTTGAAATCAACTGTGGGAGCAATTATTAGGAAATGGAAGACATACAAGACCACTGATAATCTCCCTCGATCTGGGGCTCCACGCAAGATCTCACCCCGTGGGGACAAAATGATCACAAGAACGGTGAGCAAAAATCCCAGAACCACACGGGGGGACCTAGTGAATGACCTGCAGAGAGCTGGGACCAAAGTAACAAAGCCTACCATCAGTAACACACTACGCAGCCAGGGACTCAAATCCTGCAGTGCCAGACGTGTCCCCCTGCTTAAGCCAGTGCATGTCCAGGCCCGTCTGAAGTTTGCTAGAGTGCATTTGGATGATCCAGAAGAGGATTGGGAGAATCTCATATGGTCAGATGAAACCAAAATAGAACTTTTTGGTAAAAACTCAACTCGTCGTGTTTGGAGGACAAAGAATGCTGAGTTGCATCCAAATAACACCATACCTACTGTGAAGCATGGGGGTGGAAACATCATGCTTTGGGGCTGTTTTTCTGCAAAGGGACCAGGACGACTGATCCGTGTAAAGGAAAGAATGAATGGGGCCATTTATCGTGAGATTTTGAGTGAAAACCTCCTTCCATCAGCAAGGGCATTGAAGATGAAACGTGGCTGGGTCTTTCAGCATGACAATGATCCCAAACACACCGCCCGGGCAACGAAGGAGTGGCTTTGTAAGAAGTATTTCAAGGTCCTGGAGTGGCCTAGCCAGTCTCCAGATCTCAACCCCATAGAAAATCTTTGGAGGGAGTTGAAAGTCCGTGTTGCCCAGCGACAGCCCCAAAACATCACTGCTCTAGAGGAGATCTGCATGGAGGAATGGGCCAAAATACCAGCAACAGTGTGTGAAAACCTTGTGAAGACTTACAGAAAATGTTTGACCTGTGTCATTGCCAACAAAGGGTATATAACAAAGTATTGAGAAACTTTTGTTATTGACCAAATACTTATTTTCCACCATAATTTGCAAATAAATTCATAAAAAATCCTACAATGTGATTTTCTGGATTTTTTTTCTCATTTTGTCTGTCATGGTTGACGTGTACCTATGATGAAAATTACAGGCCTCTCTCATCTTTTTAAGTGGGAGAACTTGCACAATTGGTGGCTGACTAAATACTTTTTTCCCCCACTGTAAGTGGTTATCAACAAGGAGGCTAAACCGGTGGAAAAGAGGAGATGGGAAAACCAGAGTCAATCAATGCCTCATTGGCGTTTTCCCTCATGGCTTTATAACAGCATGAAACAATTTATCATGGCTCGCTGCCCTTGGAGTGTGTGGCGTCCAACTTCAAAGTGATACACTATTGTTTACACCTCAGTGAGCACGTTTACAGAGTATTGGATTTTTACTTACAATCGTCTCTTGGAAAATGTTCAATACATTATCATTTATAATTTCCATTTAAAAATACATTTACATATTTTTATATAATGGAGAGTGTGTCACCTCTACCCCTTCAATTATTTAACATAGCACCTCTACACCAGTTGTTTGAGCATGAAACTCCCCTTTTTCCATCAGTGGAGAGAAGTGGCAGTGGGTCCACTTATCTCCATTGATTTACCTGTACCACTCAGCTGTGTTAGTTAGGACACTGGATGGCCATAAAATGTACATTGTGTAAAGCTATAGCTAATTTAGCTTAGTTGCGGGCTTGGATCCCTAAAGTTATTAGGTTTCTCTGAGGTTAAAGCAGGGGTGTGAAACAAATTTTGCCACGCATTCAGTATTCAGGGGCTGCATTCGGTATTCAACGAGGACCAGAGGGCTGCACTGATATTTCCTCGCCGTCAAAATTTGCTAAATATACAATAGTTCTCTATCCATACTCCCTGACTGGGGCCGGACTACCTTATTTGGGTCTCAGTGACACAGAACATTTTGAAGTTTTATAATTGTATTCTACACTTTGTCATGAGGCTTAGATAAAATGTTGTAATTTTGAAGGTCATTTCCTTCAATTCTACACTTTTTGCCATGGGGCAAAGATTTTATTTTGCTGTTTTGTAGCTCATCTCAAGATTTTGTTCACATTTTGCCATGAGACTGAGGGAAAATGTTGCTATTTTAAAGCTATACTGAACCAAAATATAAACATAACATGTAAAGTGTTAGCATCCACATGAATATAGAAGTGTTCAGAAATATATTCTATTCTTATCCCACGTTTCATGAGCTGAAATAAAATATCCCAGAAATGTTCCATACGCACAAAAAGCTTATTTCTCTCAACTTTTGTGCACAAATTTCTTTACATCCCTGTTAGTGAGCATTTCTCCTTTGCCAAGATTATCCATCCACCTGACAGGTGTGGCATATCAAGAAGCTGATTAAACAGCATGAACATTACACAGGTGCACCTTGTGCTGGGGACAATAAAAGGCCACTCTAAAATGTGCAGTTTTGTCACACAAAACAATGCCACGTCTCAAGTTTTGAGGGAGCGTGCAATTGGCATGCTGACTGTAGGAATGTCCACCAGAACTGTTGCCAGATAATTGAAGGTTAATTTCTCTACCATAAGCCTCCTCCAATGTCGTTTTTAGAGAATTTGGCAGTATGTCCAACTGGCCTCACAACCACAGACCACGTGTAACCACGCCAGCCCAGAACCTCAACATCCGGCTTCTTTACCTGTAGGATCGTCTGAGACCAGCCACTGAGACAGCTTATGAAACTGAGGAGTATTTCTGTCTGAGGAGTATTTCTGCCCTTTTTTGGGGAAAAACTAATTCTGATTGGCTGGGCCTGGCTCCCAAGTAGGTGGGCCTATGCTGCGACCCTGCCCAGCCATGTGAAATCCATAGATTAGGGCCTAATTATTTATTTCAATTGACTGATTACCTTATATGAACTGTAACTCAGTAAAATCATTGAAATTGTTGCATGTTGCGTTTATATATTTGTTCAGTATACTTTCCTGCAATTCTACAAATGTCATATATTATTTTGGGGGCCTTGGGGCACGTGCCCTGCGTGCCCGTTCGGTATAAATGTAGTAGGTCCATTATCATTTCTACACAGTTTCGATTGGGTTTTACTCAAACCACCCGCGGGCTGTATGTTTGACACCCTTGGGATAAAGACTTCCTGATGCCAAAATACCCTCTGTAACGCTTTCAACCAGGATTTAGGGCCTATTAAATAAGCTGTTTCAAATAATTGACTGGATCGTGTGATACTGACTGCACAACTCTGTTTCACAATCTTTACTTGGCATAGTGTCACACGTATTACTTGGCTAAGCATTGTGAGGATGTCCAGAACTCATTTAACAGTTTTTTATGTTGCTTTTTGCCAATGTTGATTATTTTAGGTACTGTGTAGCAAATGTCTTTCTTTAGCCAAGGCTCTTGGCACCACGTTTTCTGCAGGGTACAAGCAACATAAAACAATTCAAATTTCTGCTAATAAACACCAATTGCAAGGTTCTTTCCATGTACTGTAGAATATGATGCAGAATATGATGCATGTTCAATGGAAATAGCATGATTTTGAGGCCTATCAGTAACTTTACCATTTGTACCCCTGGGGGTACATTTGGTGGGTAAATACAGTTTGATCATATTAGTGAAATTATGGGGGCCATGTTCACTGAAAAATATAGTATTTGCTTTGTATGAACACTCATTATGTTCATTATGTGACTCCTCACAATGTTTTACGTAATGAAGTCCAGGCATCCCGATAAGGTCATAACCTATAGTTGTAAATGTCAGATCCTGCAACGCCTCCGGCACATATGTAAAACCATGGCGTTGGCATGCATGGCCTGGACCAGTATTCCCAAAGGCCCCTTCGAATGAGGACAATAGATTTTCAGTGCTCCTCAGCGCATAGCCATGCATCGTCCCAAAAGGGCTGGCCTGCATGGTGGACTTCTTTTAGACTTTTTTCAAAATATGTGGATCCGCCCCTGCCTGATTCCATATCTTAAACATTGCCCGACCACATGATCTGGTTGATATTTCTCTGTCGATTAGCAGGCAACAAGTGAGGAGCAGCTTTGTAGCCTGCAGGAAAAAGGGGGAGATAAACGTTGATCCTGACATTCAAAAACTACAGACGGTAAGTAAGTCTGGAAGCTTTAATGGTTTTTCCATCTTTGAAGGCTATGGAAGACAAATCAACCAACAAATACATTTTTTGTGAATACTGAAACTGCACAGTTTCTCTGCTTTTTTTTAGGCTGAAGCTCAGCCTCTGAGAGAGAATTGACTTACATTTATGTAGGTGGACATACAAAGCAAAAACATTCATATTTAATGTGACGAATTAAACTACAATGGATACTGACAGCAAATTTTGCATTGACATGTGACACTGAATAACTCCATAAATAATGTTAATACATCTCTGAAATAATTATATCTCTTCAAAAGTAAAATGTGTAGGGTGAAGCCATCTACACATTGGATTATTACATTTATACAAAGTAAAAGGTTTTGCATGTGTTATTTTTTTTTTTTTTAAGTTACCCCAATCAATATATGTATTATAACAGTAGCAATAACATTACATGAAATTAAATCTTGATTAACATAGTTTTGTTTAGCATATTTTAAGATCTGTCTCAGTAACCCAGCATATGGGCAAATCATTCAAATGACCTATGGAGTAAAGATAATATCAACCAACATCTTAAATTGAGCACATTAATTACACTTGGACATAAAGTAAGTTAACAACATATTTTGTCGATGGTATATTTTCTTAAAGTTAATGGCATTACAATTCATACAAGGTATTTAAAAAGTACCTCCCTATCAGATTAATTTATGTTAGATAGTCAGAGTTGTTTTGATTTATGTATAAGTATTACATTTTGGAATATACTTTGAATATGCCTATATATTCCCTTCCTAATATTAGACTGAAAATCCTACACACACAGGGTGAAAATACACTATGTTCATCCTAACAAAAATGTGGTTAGTTATTGTATTTGCAAACAAGCTGCCAGTATTCAATGAATTTCCATACATTCCCTGTAACGGTTAACCTCACAGTCTTGTTGTAAATTTCATTATAACTAGGTATTACGATTTCATATATGTATAATTTTTTTAAATAAACTATACTGGGGACATTAAGAGGAATTCATACAGCTTTTACATTTACATTTTACATTTTAGTCATTTAGCAGACGCTCTTATCCAGAGCGACTTACAGTTAGTGAGTCGCTCTGGATAAGTATATATATATATATATATATTTTATCATTAAATAATTTATTCTAACTTTACAAGTATTTAGAGACACTTCAAGGGGTGGTTTCCCGGACACAGATTACAGATTCTTCATTGAGTTGGATTTTTAGTCCATGACTGGGCTTAATCTGTGTCCGGGAAACCGCCTCTAGATGTCTGTTTGATGACTATTATTGAGACTACTTCCTTGCGTACAGTTTCCAACTCATTTTATAAACAAGAAGCAGTTCTGCTTGACTAGGCAGAGGCTCCCACAGAAAGCTTCATCCAATCTGAAAGAAACCGTACAGTGAAGTTATGCTGAGGACATGCTGTACAGTCAAAACAATCAAGGACCTGAGATTGTATTCAAAATGTTCCCATTGTAGCACCATTGTACAATTACAGAGTTGGTCTAGATATCTATCTTTAATCATCAATGTAAGGCTTTATATAAGAAGTGGATATGTGCTGAGTGGAATAATAGCAAGTAAACTTTGTCGATTTGACCATGACATTAGTTTCTAGGCTATATTCTTATAATTTATTTAATTCCATTTTTTAAAATACATTCTTGTACTGGATATTATTAGATGTTTTTGTGAATCTTATTGCATTTTTTTGCTGTGCATGTGCTAGGGTAGTCAATTTTGTGCCAAGTATAGTTAATTTGCTATACAATAACAATCTTGAACTGCTGTGTAAATTATGTGACATTCAAATTCCATGTATGTTATGAATATGTATACAACCACAATACAACCACAATGGGCTCTTATAGTCTTCTAACACTCTGTCCTCACTACAGTCCTCAGGCCTACCTTGCTGACAGAAAAGCACTGTGATGAATTCCCTGTTTCTCCTGAGCTGTCTAAGCTCCACCTGGTTTCTTATAGTGTACTCACACATGATACTGGAGGACAAGCTATACACCAATACGTCTTCTTCCTCGAGTCTACGGCATGGGAGCCTGTCAGATGTTCCACCCATCGTCATTGTAGGTCAGTTAATCCTTAGGTTTGGCATATAATCAGTATTTGAAAATAAAAAAAGGGCTGCTAGATGTTTTCTAGAAAAACGATCACTGCATTTCTTGATATGTGCTGCTATCTTGTGCCATTTTGTTGTTGTTATTGCAGGACATATTATTGTAAAATGTGGATACATTTTGCTCAGGTATATTTAAGTATTCCAAGGTTGACTTCAAAACCGACAGTATGACTATAACACCAATCTTGATAAGCTACTACATTATATACCTTATATAAATATATGTAATAGACATATATTTATATGCCTTAAATACATGGAAAATATGTTTATTTTTCAGAGTTACCCAAAACCGTAAAGAAGAAAAAAACCAAGAAACCAAGAAAGGTAAACTATGCTGTGAAAATAAGTGTCCAACCTATTCATGTTTGTATCATACTGTTAAGTTGGTGGAAATATTTAAAGTCTAAAATACACATAGCCAATAGTGTAAAAAGCCTTATTGAGACATTGATTGAAAAAACATTTCAGCGCATATGCAGGCACCATGATGAAAAGTACGAGAGTGAAGTGGTAAACACTTTTATTAACATGGGGGTACTAGGGTACATTAATTAACATGAGTAAATACAGCAGTTAACATGAATGAATATGACATTAATTAATGCATTTACAAAGCAATTTGTATTCTTATATTGACTAGACTATTACTAAAGACACATTCATGATCACATATATAAAGAGGTGAAAATGGCTTGATGTTATCTAAATATTAGTTGAGTCACTTGGCAACTTTTCCCCCTTTACTAAGGAGGGCCCTATTGTAAAGTAGACATTAGTAATGCTTTATAAAGTGTTGTATGTCATTCATAATTCATTAACTATATCATTTATTAATGTTAATTGATGTACCCTTAGTGTGCAGGCAAGGCTAAATCATCAACCTTCTTCCGCAGAACAAATTCAGCGTCAAAATCAAACGTCCACCTCCTCCCCCCAACTGCGTGCCATTGTGGGGAAGCTGCAAAACCCCCAATAATGTGTGCTGTGAGTACTGCGCTTTCTGCCACTGCCGCCTCTTCAAGACTGTGTGCTATTGTCGAATGGGAAACCCGCGGTGTTGAAGACATAAAAGAGGATATTAGCATATTCACAAGGAGAGAAGATGTCATTTTGAAGTCACTTTTATTATAAATAAGAATAGAATATGTTTCTGAACACGTTTATATTCATGTAGATGCTACCATGATTATGGATAATCATGAATGAATCGTGAATAATGAGGAGTGTGAAAGTTTCAGAGGCATAAATATCATAACCCCCCCCAAAAATGCTAACCTCTGTTATTGGTACTAGAGAGAGGTTAGCATGTTTTGGGTATATGATCTTTTGTGCCTCTGTTACTTACTCACTCATCGTTGATCACGATTCACTCATGATTATCCGTAATCATGGTAGCATTCACAATAATGTAGAAGCATTCAGAAAAATATTATATTATTATTTACAATAAAAGTGACTCCACAATGACACATTACATTATTTACCATTCATTTCTATTGGGCACAACATAATCCAAAACACAACCAAAACAAACTGCAAATGCATCCAACAAGTTTGTAGAGTCACAAGCTTGATGTAGTCATTGTGTGTTAGGAATATGGGACTAAATACTAAACTTTTGACTACTTTAATACACTATAAGTGAATTTGTCCAAATACTTATGACACCTTCAAATGGGGGGAATAGACGAAGAAACTGCTTTCATTTCTAAATGGTAAAACTGATACACTACCAGTCAAAAGTTTGGAGAGAATGCCAAGAGTGTGCAAAGCTGTCATCAAGGCAAAGGGTGGCTATTTTGAAGAATCTCAAATAAAAAATATATTTTGATTTGTTTAACACTTTTTGGGTTACTACATGATTCCATATGTGTTATTTCATAGTTTTGATGTCTTCACTATTATTCTACAATGTAGGAAATAGTAAAAATAAAGGAAAACCCTGGAATCAGTAGGTGTGTCCAAACTTTTGACTGGTACTCTATGTATGCTCAAATAAAAGGTGATATTCTGCACTGTCGCGTCATATGAAACATTTGATCTCAAATCCAAAATGCTGGAGTATAGAGCCAAATTAAAAGATTTAGCTTCACTGTCCAAATAAATACGTATGGGGAGTGTATGTACATGAAGCAGCGCATGGGTCTTTCCACGAAATGAGTGCTTTTTGCCTTTCATATTGTAAGTAGAAATTGTGCACAAATATTGCTTTTTAAAAACCTGTTATATTAAATGATGTGCCGTTTCATACTGAACACATGGAAAATTCAATAAATCCGATTCTTTAAATGAATAAAGACTTGCTAAAGTGCCAAAAAGTCATCTGATATGTCCCTCTGTGCATCCTCTGTGACTTCTAGGAAGATTTTAACCCACTCAACGCCATTTTCTCCAAGTTTTCACCATCATTGTAAAGCCTTAGTTATTTTTGTCGCCTTGACAAAGTCATTTCTGAAGATTGTTATTTATTTCATGTTATTAATTATTCATTTAAGGAGGAAAAAAAACTATCCCTCAATTTAAGGTCAACCCTGTTAGGTGAACCAAACTCTCGTTTTAATATGGTGAAACTATTCCTTTTTTTTTTTTTTATTCTAAAGAGACATTAACCATCTAATATTCAAATCATAGTGTGAAAGCAGGTGAGCTGGTTCGACTCTTTCTGGCCATTTTCTGGTGTTTTGTGGTGGAAAACCGAGCGGGTCGAGCATAACACATCAACTCTGTTACCCATAGATCAAATCAAATCAAATTGTATTTGTCACATGCACCGAATACAACAGGTGTAGACCTTACTGTGAAATGCTTACTTACAAGCCCTTAACCCACAATGCAGTTTAAAGAAAATAGAGTTAAGAAAATATTTACTAAATAAACTAGAGTAAAAAATAACACAATAACAATAATGAGGCTATATACAGGGGGCACCGGTACGGAGTCAATGTGCGGGGGTACAGGTTAGTCGAGGTAATTTGTACATGTAGGTAGGGGTAAAGATAGACAGGCTAGAAATCTCCCGAGTGGCGCAGTGGTCTAAGGCACTGCATCGCAGTGCTAGCTGTGCCACTAGAGATCCTGGTTTGAATCCAGGCTCTGTCGTAGCCGGCCGCGACCGGGAGACCCATGGGGCGGCGCAGAATTGGCCCAGCGTCGTCCAGGGTAGGGGAGGGAATGGCCGGCAGGGATGTAGCTCAGTTGGTAGAGCATGGCGTTTGCAACGCCAGGGTTGTGGGTTCAATTCCCACAGGGGGCCAGTATGAAAAAAAAAAAATATTGTATGCACTCACTAACTGTAAGTCGCTCTGGATAAGAGCGTCTGCTAAATGACTAAAATGTAATGTAAATGTAAATGTTTTAACTATTTCAATATTTTTTAAAAGCTTGCATTGAATTGCCCCACCTTGTAGCACACAACAAGCTTCCATTCCCCCTGTCACAAGGGGATTTATGTTTGATTTAAGATTAAGTCGTCAACCCTGTTACGGTCAACCATGTTACGATCAACCCTGTTACTTTATTTGGCACTTACGATGGTCATTTTTTTATTTAACCTCTTGAGATGGGAATTTATTTTTATTAAGTTGAGCATATCCTCTTTGTGAAAGAATGTTAAAATTAGGTGAAATAAAATGTTGTTTTTTCACCAAGTTACACTACTCAAAAGGCACCTAATTGGTGGAACGACCCACATCATGCCAGTGCTGTAAAAGTGGCAGTGTGTAGGATTTACTGTCTTGAGTAGTTTTCCAGTCCAGGGGCCCAATTGTCTGGCTCTTTGATAAAAACGTGGCAAGAACTTGAAAAGAGGCACAAATTGTGTTCCCCTACCTGGTTTTCATAGATTGATGCTGCTAGTGTTCACAAGCTCAGAATGATCAGCAGTTTAGTGTTGCATGCATCTGATGGTTTTACCTACAGCACAAACAATGAAACTATCACTGGAGAACTACAAATGTTTTATAGCTGTATATTAATATGGCATGTGATTTACAGAAAGACAAACTGCCAAAGGCACTCCAGGAGCCAAAATGTCAGATTTCTTTTTAAAAAACTGTACAGTATTTACAGCGAGGTATTTTCTGGAGGCCAACAGTATTTCATTTTCCATGGCAAAATTGCTTGTATTAACACAATTATTTTATTGATGTTACGAAAAATCTATTTGTATTTTTGGTAACTTTATGTATGTTAATTGTAGCCATCTTCACATTTAAACACATTTGAACTGCTGCACTTGTCAAGATCATGGCTGTGAATTGTCACCCTGCAGCAGTACTGGACGCCTGGTTTCTATTGCATTTGTGTTGCGCCCACTAAGTCCACACGCTACAACAATCTTGCACTTCTCATCAGTTCATCATGTTTGTTTGATATTGTTCTGGATGTCACCTCAGATGAATTGTATAAGGACAATTGCAGAACACTTGCTTGCTTCTTTGACCCTGCAAAGTCTCAGTTACCAAAGGCACATTTATGTAAAGCCTCTTTAAGGTATCGGCATGGGCCCCTGACTTTGGGGTGACCTCCCCCAGATTTATTTTTGCATTTTTAAAACAATTTTCATGCAATTCTACACTGTTTCTTAACAGGGGGAATCCATATTTATGAACAGAACATCTATTTTTTGGGCTTTGCCACAATAAATGATATTGAAAAAGTGTTTTAATTACATTATTAATCTACTCCCTTCCCTGATAATCCCACCCCCAATAATTCATTGACATGTCTGAAACCCTACCAACCCTGTGACTGACAAACATCCCACCCCCTTCCCTGACAATCCCACTCACAGTGATCGATTGATAGCCCAAACTGTGAAGAATGTGTCCAGGATAACGCATGAAAATGAGAGGAATAATATGATTTTACTCAATAAGGATTTGAATGTTGTACTTGGTAGGTTAAGAAAAAGCATTGTTAAATTTCACATTAAGTTTTTATCTTATTTTTGTCAAATAAAGCGATCACAATAATGTGGTACAATTACAAATATGAACTTTGATTTATCTTTTAACAAAATAAAATCTCAATATGGCAGTGTAATATGTTAGAGCATTGAACAAAAACTGTCAACTTTCTCAATATGGCGGTGTTATCTGGTGGGTATTGAACAAGAACTGTCAACTTGAAAATGCAAACTGGGATTATGCATTTAAATTTGGCCATTGATTATGTTAACATAAAAAATTATACTTCAAAAGTATTATTAATTTATCATTATCATTATCAGTGGCACAGTGGTCTAAGGCACTGCATCGCAGTGCTAGCTGTGCCACTAGAGATCCTGGTTCGAATCCAGGCTCTGTCGTAGCCGGCTGCGACCGGAAGACCCATGGGGCGGCGCACAATCGGCCCAGCGTCGTCCAGGGTATGGGAGGGAATGGCCGGCAGGGATGTAGCTCAGTTGGTAGAGCATGGTGTTTGCAACGCCAGGGTTGTGGGTTCGATTCCCACGGGGGGCCAGTATGATTATTTTTTTTTGATGATATAATATATGCACTCACTAACTGTAAATCGCTCTGGCTTAGAGCGTCTGCTAAATGACTTAAATGTAAACTCGATTTTTTTTGGCAGCTATACAGTGCCTTCGGAAAGTATTCAGACCCCTTGACTTTTTCCACATTTTGTTGCGTTACAGCCTTATTCTAAAATGGATTTTAAAAAATTAATGTTTGCAAATGTATTAAAAATAAAAAACAGAAATACCTTATTTACATAAGTATTCAGACCCTTTGCTATGAAACTCAAAATTGTGCTCCGGTGCATCCTGTTTCCATTGATTATCCTTGAGATGTTTCTACAACTTGATTGGACTCCACCTGTGGTAAATTCAATTGATTGGACATGATTTGGAAAGGCACACACCTGTTTATATAAGGTCCCACAGTTGACAGTGCATGTCAGAGCACAACCAAGCCATGAGGTCGAAGGAATTGTTCATAGAGCTCTGAGACAGGATTGTGTCGAGGCACAGATCTGGGGAAGGGTGCCAAAAAATGTCTGCACCATTGAAGGTCCCAAAGAACACAGTGGCCTCCATCATTCTTAAATGGAAGAAGTTTGGAACCACCAAGACTCTTCCTAGAGCTGGCCGCCAGGCCAAACTGAGCAATCGGGGGAGAAGGGCCTTGGTCAGGGAGGTGACCAAGAACCCGATGGTCAGTCTGACAAAGCTCGAGAGTTCCTCTGTGGAGATGGGAGAACCTTCCAGAAGGACAACCATCTCTGCAGCACTCTACCAATCAGGCCTTTATGGTAGAGTGGCAAGACGGAAGCCACTCCTCAGTAAAAGGCACATGACAGCCTGTTTGGAGTTTGTCAAAAGGCACCTAAAGACTCTCAGACCATGAGAAACAAGATTCTCTGGTCTGATGAACCAAGGTTGAATTCTATGGCCGGAATGCCAAGCGTCACATCTGGAGGAAACCTGGCACCATCCCTACTGTGAAGCATGGTGGTGGCAGCATCATGCTGTGGGGATGTTTTTCAGCAGCAGGGACTGGGAGACTAGTCAGGATCGAGGCAAAGATGAACGGCGCAAAGTACAAAGAGATCCTTGATGAAAACCTGCTCCATAGCACTCAGGACAGACTGGGGCGAAGGTTCACCTTCCAACAGGACAACGACCCTAAGCACACAGCCAAGACAACGCAGGAGTGGCTTCGGGACAAGTCTCTAAATGTCCTTGAGTGGCCCAGCCAGTTCCTGGACTTGAACCCGATCTAATATCTCTGGAGAGACCTGAAAATAGCTGTGCAGCAACGCTCCCCATCCAACCTGACGGCGCTTGAGAGGATCTGCAGAGGAGAATGGGAGAAACTCCCCAAATACAGGCGTGCCAAGCTTGTAGCGTCATACCCAAGAAGACTCGATGCTGTAATCGCTGCGAAAGGTGCTTCAGCAAAGTACTGAGTAAAGGGTCTGAATACTGATGTAAATGTAATATTTCCGTTTTTTATTTTTTATAAATTAGCAAACATTTCTAAAAAAAACTGTTTTTGCTTTGTCATTATGGCGTATTGTGTGTAGATTGATGATGAAAAAAACTATTTGATCAATTTTAGAATAAGGCTGTAACGTAACAAAATGTGGAAAAAGTCAAGGGGTCTGAATACTTTCCGAAGGCACTGTATCCATAAATTGCAGCCCGAATCTGTAATAGAAGAATAAAATGAAGCTCCGGTAATATGGGTCATATTTGAACAGTTTGGGCTAGAGCAGGGTTCTCCAACCTTTTCTTTCATAAAGGCTCCTTCATACAAAAAATAAATAATTGCGAGCTACTTGTATGCAGCCTGCATATTTTATTATTTTGTAGGCATTATTTGATTAATTGAAACAAAGAACAGCACTGCATACATAATTGAGTTTTGGTTCTTAAAACCACACATTTTGAACAAAAATTATTCTACTGTAGGCTACTTTGAGAATCTTGCCTTTTTAGATGAGAGAAAATAGAAGGGTTTGACATTTGAACAAATCTGTAGCCTGCAGGACTAGGCTACTACAAATTATTTCCCAATAATTTTTAATTTGTCATTCTGTTTAATAGTGGCCTTTTGAACAACAACCACTGAGTAGGCTACATATTTGACAACAAATCATGAAGAAACAGATGAATCATGAAAAGTATGAGGAATAAAAAAAGGGTAGTCTCAGCATGCACATTAAATGACCATTCCGCTTTTCCTCTGACATTTACCATTTTTGCCGCCGTTGTTTGAAGCGCTGTCACCATACATTTATTTCTTTATGAATTTGTCTCAGCAGCATACTGCCCTACAAAGGCAAAATGCAGTAACTACGCTAAAAGTGAAACTGAAAAAAAATTGTTTTAAAGTCCCGTGTAGCTCAGTTGGTAGAGCATGGTGCTTGCAACGCCAGGGTTGTGGTTCGATTCCCACGGGGGACCAGTATGAAAATGTATGCACTCACTAACTGTAAGTCGCTCTGGATAAGAGCGTCTGCTAAATGACAAACAAAAAAATATATTTATTTTTGCTAGCCAGCCAGATATGTTGTAGGTAGATAAGTGATAATGCACTGATGAATCATCTTATTATCAAGTAGATTTTATGCATATCAACCATGACCACTGATTTTACCTATAACCCCTTAAATGGAAATACTGCACTCTGCCTTTGTATGACCTTAAACAATTATATGTGTAATGCATATAACAGTATTTACAATCTAAATGTGTTTATCCAACTTTCTTGTTGTTTTTTCTGTTTGATGGAAACAGTTTGTGAGTTCTAACTACATTCCAACTGTATTTAATGGTTTTATATAGTTATGTTTTCATGTTTGGAATGTTGTATTTTAGTAACCCTCAAGCATTTTTCACCATAAGGTAAGGACTATTTCATCACACAGAATGTTTATACGTCAAAAAGTTATTAGACTTTGTGCAGTATCTACAATCTGAATTATCCAACTTGTTGTTATTCTCTTTGAATTTGTATTATCATTTATTAGTATTTTGGGTCATAGGTCAAATCAGTGGTCATGGTTGATATGCAAAAAAAAATACTTTATAGTAAGATAATACATCAGTGCATTATAATTGATCTACCTACAACACATAAAGCAATTTTTCTCAGTTTCACTGTTTGCGTAGTTGCTGCTCTTTGTATTGCAGAGCAGGTAACTGCAGTCAAAACATGGTGGAACAAAGCCAAAGTGTAGTAACTTCACTTACTGCTGTTTGCCTTGGTTTTTACTTGGATTTTGTAGTAACTGCAAATTTCACACACCATTTTCTCTGAAACGGGACATAATTGAACCAGGACACTTTGTCACAAAAATAAAACAGATACTACAAAGCCTGATTTCAGTCTTAACTACATTTTTACCAAAAGTGTAGTTAATGCGTTTTGCCTTTGTAGGGCAGCATACATATTTGATGCAAAAGAGGGTAGAAATTGCTTATTTTGTCGATATTACTTACCAAGCCAAGCAGAGTTGTTTTATCGAGATACAAATATAGTGTGCTTTTTCATTTGGCACTTTGGCACATACAGACAAAACTTGGCTACATAGTAACCACGAAGGAGCCACGGTGAGCACGCGTACAGTATGGGGCTCAGCCAGGACGGTAACACTTTATTTGACACCTAATGTCATAACACGTTATCACATGGTCATAAGTATGTCATAATATGTCATAACAGCTGACATAACCTGTCATAACACTGTAATGACACATTTATTTAGACGTGTTGTGACATACAGTACCAGTCAAAAGTTTGGACACACCTACTCATTCAAGGGTTTTTCTTTTTTTTTAAACTATTTTCTACATTGTAGAATAATAGTGAATACATCAAAAACATGAAATAACACATAATTTGTAAGTCGCTCTGGATAAGAGCGTCTGCTAAATGACGTAAATGTAAATATGGAATCATGTTGTAACCAAAAAAGTGTCAAACAAATCAAAATATATTTTATATTTGAGATTCTTCAAAGTAGGCACCCTTTGCCTTGATGACAGCTTTGCATTCTCTGGACCAGCTTCACCTGGAATGCTTTTCCAACAGTCTTGAAAGATTTCCCACATATGCTGAGCACTTGTTAGCTGCTTTTCCTTCACTCTGCGGTCCAACTCATCTCAAACCATCTCAATTGGGTTGAGGTCGGGTGATTGTGGAGGCCAGGTCATCTGATGCAGCACTCCATCACTCTCCTTCTTGGTCAAATAGCCCTTACACAGCCTGGAGGTGTCTTGGGTCATTGTCCTGTAGAAAAACAAATGATAGTCCCACTAAGCCCAAACCAGATGGGATGGCGAATCGCTGCAGAATGCTGTGGTAGCCCTGCTGGTTAAGTGTGCCTTGAATTCTAAATAAATCACAGACAGTGTCACCAGCAAAGCACCCCCACACCATAACACCTCCCCCTCCATGCTTT